ATCTAATCAATATGCTGAATTGACTGCCATAGTCATACTGATGGAAGAAACCACAGATCCAGAGCTCTACATCTATACAGATAGCTGGGCTGTGTACAAGGCTTGTGTTACATGGATGCCTACATGGAGAAACAACAGGTGGCAAATACATGGCAAGACAGTATGGGGAGGAGAAGATTTATGGGAAAATATATGGAAAACAGCCCAATCAAGATTAATACACCTCGGACATGTTAATGCCCATGTGAAAGACAGTACTGGAGAAGAGAACCCGAATAAGATAGCCGATGAATTGACCCGAATACGAGAAGCAAAAATAACACCAGAACCTGTTGATCCAGTATTACTTAGGATGGCAGACTGGGCCCATGAGACCGCGGGTCATAGAGGAAAAGCAGCTACGCTAGAGTGGGCGCAAGCCCGAGGACTACCAATAACTCTCCAGATGATTGTCCAAGCTCAAGAAGTATGCGAGACCTGCAATGAGGTTAAGAAATGGCCCCTCACGAAGCAAGCCCGTGGACATTTAAATAAAGGAACAATAGCAGGACAGATCTGGCAGATGGACTACATTGGCCCCATGCCTAAAGGAAGAGGGGGGCTGATGTATTGTTGTACTGCTGTAGACACCTTTTCCGGAATTCTGAAAGTATTACCCTGCAAACATGCGAACCAGGCCTCAACACTTCAGATGCTACAGACTCTTGTGATTGCTTATGGACTGCCATCTGAGATTCAGACAGACAATGGAACCCACTTCACTGGACAGCTCGTACAGCAGTGGGCAAATGACTCAGGGATTAAGTGGATCTTCCACATCCCCTATCATCCTCAAGCTTCGGGTTTGATTGAAAGGTGCAATGGGCTTTTAAAAGAACAGATTCGGAAGCTATCCCCAAGTAGGACATTGAGGGGGTGGGACCGGGTGATCACGCAGGCAGTTATGATACTAAATAGTAGACCAATAGGACAGTTTTCACCTTATGAAAGATTGACTGGACAGGTAGGGACACCAACTGTGTCAGTTCGATTAAGGTTCAAGGGATCTTTCCCCCAACAGGTGGGGAAGAACAAATTTAAAGAGGTCAGCCAGAACCTAGTTGAGATTGTACAGGGTGATGAATGGATGACATACATCCTTCCCATGGGTGGGATATTACCAGAAGGGACTGAAGTGACCTTTGCCCTAACAGAGGAGCTAAGAGATGATAAATGGTTGACCACAGGGATGGTAAATGTGTTATCAGATTTGTGGGAAATCCCATTGACCAGGGGGTGTCCAGGCCAGATTTTCTCACACACTGTATTAGACGTGGTATCCATTTGGATCCCACGGAAAGTATTAGTGACATGGGAGGAAAGCAATACCTTACAGACAGGTTCCAAAGTATGGGTGCTACCACGAGCAGGTGAGCAGGTCAAACAGAAGGGAGAAATACTGTCCAATGGACCTGGTGACACTAAAGTTGTATTACTAAGTGGAGGTACTCACCCTGTTTTCTTTCCTTCCAACAGATTGGTGGCTATATAGACAAGTCGGATCCCTGGTCCTCCAACTCATACCTGAATCTATTAGCAAGTTATTCGAGAGTGTCAAACAGCACGGATTGCTGGATTTGTGGGACCATATCATTCAGCGAGGAGAGCAGTTACCCATATGTTGGTGTTCCATGGACATTGGAGGAGTTAAAACAATATAATAATACAGGATTCGGCTGGTACCGAGAAGAAGGAAAGCCACAATCATTGGACAGATTGCATATTATAAACCGCCCCCAGGAAGGTGCTATTTGTATCAGTTCACATAACAATGGAGCCAATGCCACTAAAATGGGATATTCTAACTGTACATCTGCCTGGGTAAAGGGCTATGGTAATGAACAACATTGGGCAATGACCGTCAAAGACTCCAGCCCAATGGTGAGAGTAATAAGTATGACCTCTCATGGTGCAATAAAAAGACTGAGCTTTCCCTTTATTTCTATACTCCTGGACACTTGTTTTAGTGGGGCCCCAGATAATAGTTACAGTGTCCTTCCCAGAGGTGTGTATTTTCTGTGTGGTAATTGGGCCTATAGATGGTTACCTACTCAATGGGATGGAGAATGTTACATTGGATCAATCATCCCCGCCATAAGGCATAGAAATAGCTTTCCAGAAGGCATGATTAGAAATAAACGGTGGAGTTCATTTATCGGAGAACATGCAGCTAATTCTGGAATTGTATTTCCCGGCTGGGGAGTATTTCCCGGCTGGGGAGTATATTGGTCATTAACTCGAATAGAAGCTTTAAAAAAGCTAGTGGATGAAGCTTTAGATGCAACCGTGGATGCTATTAACAAACTATCCCAAGAGCAGGTACAAATGAGAGCAGTGGTGTTGCAAAATAGACTGGCATTAGATTATGTCTTGGCCGCCAAAGGAGGCGCTTGTGCGTTGGTAGGGACAGAGTGCTGCTCATATATTGTCAATAACTCTGGCACAATAACACATGATATTTCAAAGATAAATGATACCAGGAAGAAGCTCCAGAATCCACCGGATAGTGGACCTTTTGGGTGGTTGGGTAATTTAGGGTTTAAAGTAATGCAATGGGTAGTAGTGGGTGTTGTTTTATGTATAATATTGTATTTTTTTTTGTAAATTGTATTATATGTGTGGGAAAGCAAGCTATGAAGAAAGTAAGACCTATCCGAGAAATATATGAGTTATAGTTATTACTCATGTAATGGGATCAACAGGTGGATTGTATTGGTTATGGGCAATGATAAATGTTCTATTATTGTGTTCCCATTCATGTGCAATAACTTATGATACCTATAGGGGGTGTAGTGAGCTATGTGACATTAAGAGCAAGAAGATGGCTGCTGCATATTTAATGAGACATGTGCTTTAGGGAGGAAGTGACCTATAGGTAGCCTAGTGAGCACTGTGACGTCGAGTGAATAAAGATGGCTGCCGCATAGTCAATGAGACATGTGCTTTAGGAAGGTATTGAGAATTCTTAAGTCACTTCCTTTCACAAAGGACCACATGTAGTATCCGCCTCCTAGAGATGACCATTAGGTATTGGTTATGTTACCTCTGTGGGTGGATACTAGATGGGAGGTTATTCAAGGGGTTGTCAGAAACTAGAGTTTCAGTTTCATGACTGGGTCGGAAGAAGCCAGGTGTCTTTAGAGGTGCCCATGTAAATCCATTTAACATGTGGCAAGGAACTCACCTCATTGTTCTGTGTGTTATGCTGATTCAATTATCCTGTGTAAGCTGCTGAATCTCCACGAATAGAGCTAAGTAGATTTCTTACCTGAATGTATTGTTTATAGCAGTGTATGTTTTTAAAGTATTTGTTTCTTTTTTGTGTGCTTGATAATTGTATTCCCAGTAAAGTTTTGTTTATACTTTCATCAAAACTTTGCCTCTTGTCTGTTCATTCAAGATATTCACTAATATTTATGTGATTGACCAGTATACCTTTTATTATTTTATTTGTGGTATTATTTTATATTTATGCAATTCAGAACTTCATAAATATAAAGAAATTACTTAATTTACCATTACAACTGGCGCTGTGAACAGGATACTGCACAATCACTAAATATAGAATATTTGAATGTGTATATAGATTGAATAAGCCTATAGCACAGTCACGTTGCACAGTGAAAAGAGATATAGTTAACAAGCATTGTCTTTGATTGGTATATTTGCATTTTTGTGTTCCCCCTGAGAGTAAAGATGCTTACTCTGTTTAAAAAAAGTAATAGAGCAGGAGGGAAGGAGGCGTCTAAGTATGGGACAATTCCATTGTGGGCCAGTTTAGAAAACTGGAAACCCATTGCTGAGGAGCTGATCAAGTATGCAGCTCCTGTCTATCCTGATGCTGGTACTGAACTTGGTGCTCAAGCATTACGGTTAGACCTGGGAGTATACTCCAAAAAAGTGCGGAAAGCCGCTGCCACTACAGGGTGGATAGTTGTGCAGGCCCTTAGCCGCGAGGTGCAGAGAAATAAAGCGCTCGAGAAAGAGTTGCAGGATGTAAAAGATTTATTAGTTATGACTAAAGAATGTATGCATAGTAATGCATGCCAGGTGGCTGCCCTAGAAGAAAAATGTACTACTTTAGTGGTAAGCAAGATTAACCGCAGGAGGTCACAGAAAGGAAAAAAGCCAGTGCCTGTAAGTAAAGTGCGAGCAATGGTTGCAAACCCCATATGGGATCCTGAAGCACCGCTACAGTCATCTGATGATGAGTATGTATCCTTTTCTGATGATGATAATGATGTGGACAGGCGACAAGCCCGTCCTATCTTTACACAGCAGCGGAAGAGGACATTACAAGATAGAGCGCGTGGTTTGAGAAATGGTGTACATGAAGAGATGAATGAAGTGGTAAAAAGTTACACACAAACAGAGCTCATGGAGCTGGCAAAGGTGTATAAGCATGAAGTTGGTGAAAATGTGGGAGAATGGTTATTGCGCATGTGGGATGGAGGAGCTGACAGTGTGCAGTTGAATGCAAGGGAAGCATTATGTATGGGGCAGCTGACGCTGCATCCACAGCTCATGCAGGTATTACGGAGGGTGAGGGAGATTGGAGGTAATTTTTCATTATTTGATATGGTGCGGCATGCCATAATTGTGGCCTTCCCATCTAGCAATGACATTGAGCCCATTTCACCCTGGTCAAAACCGAGGGATGCTATTACCCGCATTAGAGTTATGGGTTGTGTGGTGGGATTAAACAAGGATAACTGGGAAGGTCCAGACATGGAGGAATTCACAGCCAGCATGCGGTCTCGGTTTTTAAAAAGTGCACCCCAGGAAATGAAGGCATCTTTATTGTCTTTGCTGGGCAGTTTGGGGAATAATGTAAAGGTACATCAGCTCACCACTTATTTAGCTGAAATTGGAGAATTAGAGTCAGAATCTAAACCTAGGAAAGGTGTGTTTGCCGCTAACAGGACGAGGGAGGAGATGGTGGAACCAATAGAGGGAGAAAAGCAGGGAAAGTTTAGGAATAAAACAAGGCTGAGAGTTAATCGTTTTCAAATGTGGAATGATTTGATTGAGGCTGGTGTACCTAGAGAACAAATTAATGGAATTTCAACACCTGCCATGTTTGAAAAATGGTTAAATCTAAAAAAAGGGTCTAATAAAAAGGTACAGGTACATTTGGCATGCAAGGATCAGGCAGACAATACCATGCCCTCTGCCCCATTTGTCCCAAAGTCTCCTCCCCCTAGTTATTTAAAAAACACTCCTCTCATGCCTACAGACACAGCTCCTCTGTCCATACCTCTATTCCAACATTGTGCTCCTTATGCTGTGCCCCCACCCTCACTTCAAGCCCAAGATAACACCCCCCACATTCATACCCACATATGTCTTCACTGTTTCCAACAGAATATTGTGCTAGGACTTACTCTCATACTACATCTAGTGAGAAACAAGCACTGCCAGAGAGTGATGGTAAAGTCAGATCCTTGTATCCTGTAAAAGATCTGATGACACATGATTTGATGGATTGGGACAGTGCTGTTGTACAATGACAGAATGGTGGGCCTCCGGCGGTACATGTGTCCCCTTTAACCGTCGGGGACCGACGCCCTTATGTACCTTTGACTGTGTGGTGGGGGACAAGACCAGGACCAACAAAGATTTTAGCTTTAGTTGACACAGGAGCAGAAGTCACAGTACTGCATGGTAATCCATCAAGGCTATCAGGACCCTGTGTGAGAATAGAAGGTTTAGGAGGTAGAATTACCAAAGCAGTACAAACTGTTGTGGCTATGTCAATTAACAAAGGACCAAGATTCAGTGCTAAAGTTTTGATTTCAGAATTGCCAGACAATATCTTGGGAATAGATGTGTTACTAGGGCAGAGTATTGAGACACAGTGGGGGGTGTTCACGTTTGGATTCCCTCATAAGCCATACTATCTCAGACCAGTAAAAGACATTGTGCGAGGGAATGCAAATTGGACACCTGTCATTGTTCCTCCTCCGTGCAACCCGGTAAGACTGAAGCAATACCGTTTGCCCGGAGGATGTCGAGAAATTAGTGAAACTATCGACAAGCTTTTACAGTCAGGTGTAATTCGTCCAGCTGTCAGTCCGTTCAATGCTCCAGTATTCCCTGTAAAGAAGATGGATGGCTCATGGCGAATGACGGTGGATTACCGGGGACTCAACAAGGTAGCACCACCATTGAGTGCTGCTGTCCCTGATATTATCACCATTGTGGGAAACATTGCCAAACAGGCCGGGGAGTGGCATGCGGTAATAGATTTAGCTAATGCGTTCTTTTCAATTCCTATTGCACCTGAGTCGCAAGATCAATTTGCTTTCACTTGGGAAGGACGCCAATATACCTTCCAAGTTTTGCCCCAGGGATATATACACTCACCTACGATTTGCCATGGACTAGTTGCACAGGATTTAAGCCACCTCACTCTACATCTTCCAGTGTTTCACTACATTGATGACATCATGATCTCGGGATCTAAAGAGGAAGTGAAAGAAGCATTACCTGTTCTAGTGAATTACATGACTGGACGGGGATGGGCAATAAATAAAGACAAAATTCAAGGTCCAACCCAAGAAGTTAAATTCCTAGGAATGATGTGGTCTGGGCCTGTTCGGAAGATACCTCAGCCTGTGCTGGATACAATCCAGAATTCTCCAGAACCTAAGACGTTAACAGAAGCCCAAAAGATTTAGGGGCAGTTGGTTACTGGAGAGCATTTATACCGCATCTAGGATTGCTGCTACGCCCCATATACAATGTTACAAGAAAGAAATCAGCATTTGTATGGGGAATTGATCAAGCTACAGCATTCCAAGCAGCAAAGGAAGCAGTAGTACAGCATCAGGGCTTGGGCCCGATTCAAATTGGAGCTCCGTTCATATTGGATGTTATGGTGAACGACAACGTAGCATCATGGGGACTATGGCAACCGAGCGAAGACAAAGGCAAGCGGGCAGTACCAAATGGGTTTTGGTCCAAGCAATTGACTGGGGCTCAGCAAAGGTACACACCTTTGGAGAAGAATCTTCTGGCAGCATACCTCGCACTGCAGCATGTGGAGACAATGACTGAGAAAAGCATAGTATCAGTGAAAACAGATTTACCAATAGCAGGATGGGTACGAGATGAAGGATTATCTGCAAAGACACCAGTGGCACAAAGTCAGACATTATTAAAATGGAAGTGGTACCTGCAGGAAAGAGGAGGGATCCAAGCAGGTGAAGTGAAGGAACTGACCAAACTCCTTACTGGGTTAGTGACATATGATACACTTTCACATCCCAATGTACAAGAAGTCCCAATTTTACAGCCCTCACCCATCAAGTCAGCTCCTTCATTCAGAGAACTGGGTGAAGAACAAAAGAAAAATGCATGGTTCACAGATGGGTCTGCAACCATGACCCACAAAGGACGACATTGGACTGCAGTAGCTTACAACCCTCAGCAACAAATTGTGATTCAAGAGAAGGGAATAGGAGGATCTAGTCAATATGCTGAATTGACTGCCATAGTCATACTGATGGAAGAAACCACAGATCCAGAGCTCTACATCTATACAGATAGCTGGGCTGTGTACAAGGCTTGTGTTACATGGATGCCTACATGGAGAAACAACAGGTGGCAAATACATGGCAAGACAGTATGGGGAGGAGAAGATTTATCGGAAAATATATGGAAAACAGCCCAATCAAGATTAATACACCTCGGACATGTTAATGCCCATGTGAAAGACAGTACTGGAGAAGAGAACCCGAATAAGATAGCCGATGAATTGACCCGAATACGAGAAGCAAAAATAACACCAGAACCTGTTGATCCAGTATTACTTAGGATGGCAGACTGGGCCCATGAGACCGCGGGTCATAGAGGAAAAGCAGCTACGCTAGAGTGGGCGCGAGCCCGAGGACTACCAATAACTCTCCAGATGATTGTCCAAGCTCAAGAAGTATGCGAGACCTGCAATGAGGTTAAGAAATGGCCCCTCACGAAGCAAGCCCGTGGACATTTAAATAAAGGAACAATAGCAGGACAGATCTGGCAGATGGACTACATTGGTCCCATGCCTAAAGGAAGAGGGGGGCTGATGTATTGTTGTACTGCTGTAGACACCTTTTCCGGAATTCTGAAAGTATTACCCTGCAAACATGCGAACCAGGCCTCAACACTTCAGATGCTACAGACTCTTGTGATTGCTTATGGACTGCCATCTGAGATTCAGACAGACAATGGAACCCACTTCACTGGACAGCTCGTACAGCAGTGGGCAAATGACTCAGGGATTAAGTGGATCTTCCACATCCCCTATCATCCTCAAGCTTCGGGGTTGATTGAAAGGTGCAATGGGCTTTTAAAAGAACAGATTCGGAAGCTATCCCCAAGTAGGACATTGAGGGGGTGGGACCGGGTGATCACGCAAGCAGTTATGATACTAAATAGTAGACCAATAGGACAGTTTTCACCTTATGAAAGATTGACTGGACAGGTAGGGACACCAACTGTGTCAGTTCGATTAAGGTTCAAGGGATCTTTCCCCCAACAGGTGGGGAAGAACAAATTTAAAGTGGTCAGCCAGAACCTAGTTGAGATTGTACAGGGTGATGAATGGATGACATACATCCTTCCCATGGGTGGGATATTACCAGAAGGGACTGAAGTGACCTTTGCCCTAACAGAGGAGCTAAGAGATGATAAATGGTTGACCACAGGGATGGTAAATGTGTTATCAGATTTGTGGGAAATCCCATTGACCAGGGGTGTCCAGGCCAGATTTTCTCACACACTGTATTAGGCGTGGTATCCATTTGGATCCCACGGAAAGTATTAGTGACATGGGAGGAAAGCAATACCTTACAGACAGGTTCCAAAGTATGGGTGCTACCACGAGCAGGTGAGCAGGTCAAACAGAAGGGAGAAATACTGTCCAATGGACCTGGTGACACTAAAGTTGTATTACTAAGTGGAGGTACTCACCCTGTTTTCTTTCCTTCCAACAGATTGGTGGCTATATAGACAAGTCGGATCCCTGGTCCTCCAACTCATACCTGAATCTATTAGCAAGTTATTCGAGAGTGTCAAACAGCACGGATTGCTGGATTTGTGGGACCATATCATTCAGCGAGGAGAGCAGTTACCCATATGTTGGTGTTCCATGGACATTGGAGGAGTTAAAACAATATAATAATACAGGATTCGGCTGGTACCGAGAAGAAGGAAAGCCACAATCATTGGACAGATTGCATATTATAAACCGCCCCCAGGAAGGTGCTATTTGTATCAGTTCACATAACAATGGAGCCAATGCCACTAAAATGGGATATTCTAACTGTACATCTGCCTGGGTAAAGGGCTATGGTAATGAACAACATTGGGCAATGACCGTCAAAGACTCCAGCCCAATGGTGAGAGTAATAAGTATGACCTCTCATGGTGCAATAAAAAGACTGAGCTTTCCCTTTATTTCTATACTCCTGGACACTTGTTTTAGTGGGGCCCCAGATAATAGTTACAGTGTCCTTCCCAGAGGTGTGTATTTTCTGTGTGGTAATTGGGCCTATAGATGGTTACCTACTCAATGGGATGGAGAATGTTACATTGGATCAATCATCCCCGCCATAAGGCATAGAAATAGCTTTCCAGAAGGCATGATTAGAAATAAACGGTGGAGTTCATTTATCGGAGAACATGCAGCTAATTCTGGAATTGTATTTCCCGGCTGGGGAGTATATTGGTCATTAACTCGAATAGAAGCTTTAAAAAAGCTAGTGGA